AGAGAGAGAGAGAGAGAGAGAGAGAGAGAGAGAGAGAGAGAGAGAGAGAGAGAGAGAGAGCACTTACTTCGAGGCGCAGCAAAGAGGGGCACGACTCACGATGGGCGGCAGCGAGGTCAGACACGAGGCGCGGTAGCGAGTTCGACGACGGCTTCGAGGCAGGGCACGAATCACGACGGGCCGCAGCGATGACGGGCAAAGTTGATCGCGTCGGGCACGCTTCCAGGGGGGAGAGGCAGCCTCCACTTTCGAATTCGAGCAGGAATACCAGGCGCGAAAGGAGGAAAGGGGGAGAACGCCCTTCAAAAAAAAAAAAAAAAAAAAAAAAAACCAGGCCTACACGTCTGTGCGGTGTGTGGGGAGGCCGCCTGCCCCCGCCGAGGCCGTTCCGGCCCCCCGCGCGAAAATGCGCTAGGCCCGCCCGGCATTCAACCGGGGGACCAAACCGGCCGGGCCGCCAGGGACCCCCACCGGACGGAGGCCAGGCCGCCGGGCGGCCCGGAATTTAACACAGAAAAAAAAGCATTTTGCAAGGAACATGAATATGGACGAAGCACAGAAATCCAGATTGCCAAATCACACTGAAGTCCAAGTAGTCAAAGCAAGAGCAGATAGCACAATGGAACCGAGTAACCATCCATTTGAGAAYGATACAGARGAATCGTGAGTCAATGTCCAAGCCCAACAGGGCAACACCAACAGCATAACCCAATGTAGCTCTCTCTCTTGAATGGCGCCAGGCGCCCTACCTACTCTACAGCCTAACACTACAACTACAGAATGAAAGCAACCAGACAACTTGACGACCAGCGAGTGCATCTCCACCAGGTACGTCTCCTTCTTCACCCACACTCTCCCTTGTTATCCCACACAGCGCCCTTCACCTCCGAAGAACCACCTTCGCCCTCACCTCCACTGCGCCCTCAGGCAGCCCGGTTATGGCCGCCAGCGCCCTGTGTACAGGCAGCGCCCTACCGCGTAGCGCCTGCCTGTCTCGCACCTCAGCCTAGCGCAGCGCAGCAGCTCGCATTAGCGCAGCCTGCCGGCATTGCCGGCAATGGCCCAGATCCCTGCCCACTCGCCCTGCTTGCCTATATGCCAGTGTTGCGTGTGGGCGGCCTCCCTTGAGCCTGTGCCTGGGCCCCAGTGCCTGTACCCAGGCCTGATGCAGTTGGGGGCCAGGAGATGCAGTTGTGCCTCTTTCATCAAGGCCTGCGGCCAGATTCAGATAGTGGACCGGTTTCCCCTTGGCATTTTCGGCCTCTATATCCAGCATGCATTGTCGGCCTCACGTTTATGTGCCCAGGGCCTAACCAACTCGGGGCCCTGGGATTTCTGCATTTGCAGAGCTCCGATACTCGGTGCACACCAACCAACTGTCTTGCTGCAACTGTATGGACCCCACTTCGTGAAATGTTTGCACAGAGGGCTCTTGTTGATTTGCTGGCCCGCCTTCACTTAGGGCGGGCACTAGACTTGCTGGGGCCTTAGCCCAGAACATGTACATCATGGCAAGGCCCCTTCTTGAGGGCTCAATCCTCACAATTTGGAATAACACAACAGCGAATT